TACGTTCATAGATTACGCTGAGGCATAATGATTCATGCTGACATACTTGTTTGAGCACTTGACAACAATTGTTGTTTTGGGTGCAATGCATAATTCATTCAGAGACTTAAAAACATTAAATGGGTTTTAAGAGCAATGTTGGTCTAAAAAAGCTGTGGAATCTTGTGGAAATTCGTGTGTGTTGCTGTCTGTGGTCCTGAAATTGTATTACAGCATTGTTGAAATGAAGAGTAATATCTAATGTGACACATCACTATTAGGTGGAATGTAAATATGATGTAAATGTAAAAGATATTTGATTGTAAAACAGCACGTCAAGGTTGTAATCACATGAACATGTTAACTGTGAGATTGTCTGTTGAAAATGGCAATGGATTTGGCTATTATAATATTTAATTCTTCAGGTAATAATCACTCCCCTATAGGGAGCTTTCAAAACACCATGTTTTTCATTTTACATCAATATTCAATTAATCTGCTGTAGCCTATAGTCTTCAATTAAATGTCTTATCTCTTAAGGTAAATGAGCAGATTGGCAGGGAGCGCTAAGCAGTTTTATTTTAATTTGTCCCCCACGATGAGGGACTTAATTTCCCAACATGCATTGGCATGTACGATTGGATATCTCCTTATGAAGTGATGTTTCAGATGAATATGAAACATCTGCAGTTATTATTCCTGTAATAGGAAATGAATGCTTTAGGGCAGGGGTTCCCAACCTTTTTTGTGCCAGGGACCAGCATATTCATAAAAAAAATTCCAGGGACCAGTTGTCAATTTTAATGCCTCAATTTTAAGATGCATCGTTTGGATTCGGAACATATCACGGTGTAAAACGGTAACAGGCTATCATTTATTTGCATATAATGAACTAGGTGGCAACAAAGGCTACTTGTATGAATATACCAATCTTTTTAAACTTTCAGACCGGTTCACAAAATGTTTCCCTTTTCTCCCATACAATTAGGTCTACTTCAAAAGCAACTCACACAGCACTCACTCACTAGCAGGTGGCAGTAATGGCAAATTGTATGAAAATACCAGTCCATTTCACCTGTCAAATCTCTCTAGAACCACTAAAGACAATCACTTCAACAGCAACTTAGTTTTCACTCACCAACAGGTGACAACAAAGGCTAATTGTATGAAAATAACAGCCAGTTTCAACAGTCAGACAGTTTCAGAATACAATAGCAAACACAATCATTTTTAAAAGTATAAAATTAGAGATTAAGCTTTAACCTTTAACAAAAAATACCAGATCAGACCAATGAGGACAAAACTATTTTAATGTGAGCATGATCTGCTTATTGATATTACTATATTTGTTGCTGTGCACAAGACAAGCTGTTCTTCCTGGGCATCCATAAAAAAAACATATATGCATCCAAAACAATGCACACAAATTCCAGGATACAATAAAATGAAATTTAAAAAGGTCTGCTTCACAAATATGAACGAAAACCAGCTTACGTTTACTGATGTTGAGGATATCAAAACTTGCCGCTGAGCGTCCAACTCACGTTTCTTTCTTTCGAAAAACTCCTCTGTTTTGTCTTTGAGAGTTGGGTGTTTGGTGGTTAAGTGCCGCTGAAGTTTTGACGGCTTCATTGCTCCATTGCAGAGTTTTTCACCACAAATAACACACAACCGATTTGGCGCCACGGAATCGCCTGTTGTCATAAATCCATACCTAATGTACGAGGTATCGTATTTACGATTTCTCTCTCTCTCTCTCTCTCTCTCTCTCTCTCTCTCTCTCTCTCTCTCTCTCTCTCTCTCTCTCTCTCTCTCTCTCTCTCTCTCTCTCTCTCTCTCTCTCTCTCTCTCTCTCTCGCTATTTTCGACTGTCCGCAATGAAATTAGCCATTGAAGTTTGCTGAGGCCCGCTCATAGATATAAACACTAGATGTTGCCTTGGCTACGGCAGTTCATTGGAACGAATGCGTCAATAGAGCCGCCATCTTGAAACAGGGGAACCCCTCATCAGCGTCAATGTAGGAAAAGGTCTAACGGACATAAAATCACCATAAATCGTCATTAATGCGATTTTCTAGTTGTTTTGGTTCGTTCCAACGGTCAGACATGTAATTATTATAGAGTCCAGAGAAACAAATTTTTTTTTACAAAATTTCACAATCTTGTGAAATGTAATCCCTTGCTGTCTGGTTTTTAGATTTCGTTAGTGTAAACATCCATACGCAGCACAAAAGTCCGGCATCATCCATGAATTCAGCGTTACCTAGCTACTTCCTATGACAAGACCCCTGTTCCAAGATGGCGGCGGTTTTGACGCATGTTTAGAACCCCAAGGCGACATCTAGTGTTTATATCTATGAGGCCCGCTCATCTCTCCACATACTTCTCTGTCACTTCAGGTGCACCGCGCTTTTTTTGCAGTCCGTTCAGATACGACGCGTTGCTAAGCAATCGCAAGGCGCTCAAAGAAACACATTTTAATCTATTTATTTTAAAGGTTGTATCAGTGATTTCAGGCCCAAAAATAAATGATCACTTTCATCTAATTTTTCCTAACGATCCGCTAGCTGTCCACCCCATAAGCAGGCTGTCAAAAACAAATGGGTACAACCAACACTCAAAACCAAAATAAACAGTGTTCCAACCAATCACCGACAGGGGCGGGTGTTGTGAGGTTTTGCGCTTGTGCGGTTGGGTTGGCACGGCTGGACGCGAAGTCGGAGCAACACCCGCCCCTGTCGGTGATTGGTTGGAACACTGTTTATTTTGGTTTTGAGTGGTGTTTGTACCCATTTGTTTTTGTGTGCAGATTTCAGAGCCTAGGCTGCCTACAGAGACGCGGTTTTTTGACAGCCTGCTTATGGGGCGGGCAGCTATAGCGAATCGTTAGGAAAAATTAGATGAATGTGATCATTTATTTTTGGGCCTGAAATCACTGATACAACCTTTAATCTATTTATTGTTTATGTTTTGGATTAAATAACATAACATGTTAAAAAGCATTTAAAAAAGACAATTATTATTATAAAAAAATAAAAAAAATAAAACATTATTCTGGGAATATTTCAAGGCCCGGTACTAACGGGTCCACGGACCGGTCGTACGGGGGTTGGGAATCACTGCTTTAGGGGCATACTACGATTTTGTATAAATAAAATAAAAAAAATAAACCATCTATCTATATATCATCTATCTGTCTGTCTATCTATCTGTCTATCCATACACAGACACAGAAAAACACATTATATATGAGTTTAGCACATACCGTATATTTGTTTTTAATAAATAATGAACCGAAGTTTCCTCACATTGCTGTTGTGGCTCTCCCTCCTCTTTCGCTGTCTGTGGTGAGAGGAGTATTGACTGGTTAGATGGATAGACTGTGCAGTCAGTAGGATCCAGGCCACCTGCTAGGCAGCTAGAGAGAGCGCTCACTAGAGCAGGACATTCCCATCTTTATCCTTAAGAGGCGAGAGCTCTTCCATTTGTCATTCATGTCTGCACCCAAGCATTTTGATAAATGTGTTTTCAGTGTGTCGGAAATGTGATCAACTTTGTAATTGCGCTCATTAACTCCCTAAACCGAGAGCACGTATTTGGTTAATCAGAAATTATCCAGAGATCCGCATATGTGAATTAGGTGCACGTCTAATGTGGAAGAATTTGTTTCCCATAGAATTCTTATGAAATGATGCAAAACTTGTTACAAAGCATTTTAGGACAAGAAAAAAAGCGTTTATGTAGCATGCATAAAAAGGTCGGCCATATGCCATGATGAAGTGCAGGTCCTCAAAAGGCTGTGTATAAAGACGCGGGCTAATTGTTTGTTATAGTTGTGGCTAGCAGGAGTTAGCCGAAGCGTCAGTTTATTTGTGGGGTGGGACTGCCATAGCCAAGCTGATTTGGAGACTAAATTAAACAGATGGCAAAGTGTCCATGGCTTAAGTGTAATTAATGAAGCAAAGGAAGCTCTCCTTCACACTTCTGAGTGTGTGTGATGTGCTGTTGAGAAGATCTGATTTCGAGAATGTGGCTCTAATGAAAAAAAAAATGAAAAAAACTTTGTCACATTGTACTTTTTTTATTAAATTTTAAAACTTGTATATATTTTTTTATTTTTTTATCTGTTTGATACTAGGGAAATGCAGATCCACTTGAAGAGCCGATCAGAGTTGTGGGGCCTTTTTGTTTCGTGTTCATATCTTGTTGTCATATCTTTGAATATTAGAACAGAATAAATATGATTTCTCATTTAATTTTTGGTTACACAAAACTAGCATAACTTGAGTTCTGTAGAACTGAACACACTACAGATGTACATGTAATTTACATAACTAATTTGACAAAAACATTACATAACATTTACTTATTTTTTATCAACAAATGCATACCATAGTTAATGTGCAATTTTATATAAAACTGAAGGTACATCTCAGAAGTGGATGTGATGTTAAACACTTTTACAGCAAAGTACTGCAAAAAAACTGTTACACTGTAAAATGTGGTAACCTGCAATTGTTACTTTAAAGAGCCATTTCTATCTGATTTCACCCATAAAAATTCATTTTGTTGGTACATGAATACAATGTTTTGGTTGATTCTGCGATCTTAATATTTTTCTCTTGAATAAACCCAGTTTATTTAGATTTTTTTTTTTTCAGTGTGTTATTCTTTGTTTATTGTTTATTTGTGCAAATGTGTTTGTGGCCTTGTTATATTCATGATCATAAAACGTGACTCTGAGCGATTCTCATTTTATAGACTTCAGATTCAGCATGACAGACATGTGTTAGTTATTTTGAAGTGAAAGTCTTAGTTTCCTTAGAAACAAAAGTGTTTTAATTAGTTTCAAGTCATTCTATAATAATTCTGAATAATATAAATTATATCATGGAGTGGTATGGTTTATGTTAAGCTTTTCAACCTGCACTCCTTGTATTACCATCTGGTCATCATTTGGCTCTTTTTTAAATGTGTGAAAATGAACATGGTTCCAGTGATGTCTCACTTTGCCTCTGCAGGATATCTGACTGTAACGATAGAGCCCTTGCTACCAGTTGTTGTGGGAGAAACGGTGACTCTAAAGTGCAACTTTAAGACAGATGGAAGATTGAGAGAGATCGTTTGGTACAGGGTAAGTTGCTGTTTTCTGCATATGTGCTAATATTTCATCATTAATGTACTATTTAAGTTCATAATCTGTCTTTTCTTCTCTGATTGGGCCTGTTATTGCAATATAACTTGTTGTAAAGTTCTGCCTTTTAAACTGTGTGATCTTGAGGCCATAGAGATGTTTATTATTTGACGTCTCTGTGAAATACTTGCTTCTTATTGGTCAGCTTCAGCATTTCGCAGATAGGCCTATGCATTAATATTCACTGTTGTCCATGTAAAACATATCTGACTGATCAACACAACCCACCACTACTTTCATGTTTTGGGCATCGCACTGTTGACTTGCGTGAGCGATCGCTGTTGTTTCATACAAATTCAACTGCCACCAATCTAGCTTCTCATTTATGTGAAAATGGCCCTAGAGGCTGATTGTTTTGTTGACTGTTTTTCATTTAGCATAAGCTTTAAGGTAAAATTATATTTCAAAATAGAGACTTTATTTCATATCAACATATTTATTTATTTGGTTAAAACATTGCTTTGTATGTTTTGACTAGGGATGTAACGATTCACTCGCAACCGGTTGAAAATCGATAAAAATGTGTGACGATTCAAGTCGGTTGAAATGTTAAACGAATCGCGATACACGTTTTAAACAGCAGAGCGCGTTTACTGTATAGCCTACTGTGAAGTTGTGAACCTCGCTTTACAGGCACAATAGCAGCGAGCACACACTGGCGTGAAGCTAGCGAGTGTTTTCACTTCATTCATGGAACTTGATCTTGTGTGAGCCAAGCTCAACTTCCATAGGAATGAACTGAAAACGCTCGGTTTGCTCCGCTCGCGCCGCACCAGTGTGTGCCATATAGACTGGTGTGCACGCGCCGTCAAACAGTAGACATTGCGACGGCAAGCGTAGATGTTGACGTTGACTCATTCAAATCGGAGGTGTGGCGGCATTTTGACTTTCCGTAGACTAATAATAATCACCACCGTGAGAAGTACCAGTCGCCTCCGTTTTCATGTAAAAGTCATTAATACGACAATTGCGAGAGCCACGGAGATCACAAGGTGCATCAGTGTTTCCGTGGCAACCAGGTGTTGTATTTATTTTACTATATCTTTCTCTAAATGTGTTTTTTTTAACTCTTACTAGTGTAATGATACAAATTATAACAAAATTAGAATCTTGCCTTTATTACAATGTAAAACCCCTGTCAATCTGGTACTAATTTTACACAGTCTTACCCTCAGTCATACCCTCCCACACGAACTCGGTGGGAGGGTATTCGTTGATAGTGGGGGAGGGGCATGAGAGTTGTAAACATTCAAAATGTTGTCCACTCAATCTGCCAGACTTGCCGACTGCAGCTTTAAGATATTTTTTATTAAATCTGAGAGCTGGATCACTCCTCCATAGGCTTCTAAGGGATTGAAACTTGCCGGCCCAGAAAAGTTATTAAAGACATCATTAAAATAGTCCAAGTGACTACAGTGGCTCAATCTTAAGTTTATCAAGCGACGAGAATACTTTTTGTGCGCAAAAAACAAACAAAAATAACGACTTTATTCTCTGGGGGCCTCGAGTTAGTTCACGTAGTGTTAATGCACAGCACTACTGGTTGTACGTTGGTTGAGCGCACAAAAAGTATTCTCGTCGCTTGATAAACTTAAGATTGAGCCACTGTAGTCACTTGGACTATTTTAACGATGTCTTTAACTTTTCTGGGCCGACAAGTTTCAATCCCTTAGAAGCCTATGGAGGAGTGATCCAGCTCTCAGATTTAATCAAAAATATCTTAATTTGTGTTCCGAAGATGAACGAAAGTCTTACGAGGTTGGAACAACATGAGGGTGTAATTAATGACTTAATTTTCATTTTGGGGTGAACTATCCCTTTAATGACTTTAAAGGGATAGTTCACACAATTTTGATTCTGTAATAACTTACTCACCCTCAGACCTGTATGAGTGTCTTTCTTCTGTTGGACACAAAAGAAGATATTTTGAAGAATGTTAACCAGACAGTTGACTGTAGCCGTTGACTTTCATAGTATTTTTTTCTGCTATGGAAGTCAATGGCTACCGTCAACTGTCTAGTTACCAACATTCTTCAAAATATCTTATTTTGTGTTCAACAGAAGAAAAAAACTCATCCAGGTTTGGGATGACTTGAGGGTGGGTAAATTATGATTTTTTTGGGGGGGTGGTGGGCGCTGAAATGTTGTTTTGACAAGATTTGCTTGTTATGATTCTCTGATTGGTAAATATTTATCTGCAAAATCATGGGCAATGTAGTTTTTCCCCAGGAGTATTGTTATACATGATTTCTTTAAAATAAGTTGAAATAATAAAGGCTGATTGCTTCGACAAAAGCATATACCACTGCTTAACAACCTCGTAGCTCACAGTAGGTCTGTCTTTAACAGCTAATAAGTTATCATTAAAAATCTATTCCTATATGGAGAAAATTAATGGGAGTGTTACTTCCAGAACCCGACTGTTGCACTGTCTATTCCGACCAGCAACATTGGTTCAACCAATGATGTGTGTTTGGGGAGGGACTGTCTTTTTGTTTGACCAATGGCAGACCGGGGACTTTTTAGGAATCACTTTTACAATTCTGTTTGTTGATGATAGTGGCACAGAAATTCTTCATCTTTAATATTCATCTGGTCATGATGGCCCAGTCTTAATGGATCCCAGCTGGATGCCTACCATTTTACCACCCACTATTAGCGGCGATTTGCCTAGCAATAAGCGAATGGATTATTTAAGCATTCTTTGCAAGATACAGTTCTGAATAAATGATACAGTATATAGCTGCATACATCACATATGCAATACATATGAACTGACTGCCCTAAAGTAAAATCTGTATAATGTAGTAAAACCAATATGGACAAATCTCATAGCTCAGCTGTGGATGTACCGTATATCAATACACAGTCAAAATCTGTGATCTGATCATGTTCAGACAGATGGTTGAGGCCATATCTGTTTAAGAGCAAAACAGTCTTTGATTCAACCTTCTGTTCACAAATGCGACACATCTACTGTCTCCATACTTGTCTTTGCAAATGCTGACCTTTCCAGACAGAACAAAAAGAGATTAATAGCACTTTACATATTGGCTATAGTCTCATACATCATACTGAACGGTTAGACAGTCCCACTGAATCAGTACAGGTTTCAGGAAGCTTGTTTGTTTGCACAAGGTCTCTTCCCTGCATGATTGGCTGTTTATTGCTCAGATGAAAGTTAACTTTGGTGGTGGGGTTTTGACAGAAAAAAAAGTTATGAACGATTGAGAATACATATATATTTTATGAAGATAATATCCAAATCCTAATTCATATCTTCAGAGTTATGTGCCTGTGGAAATGGCAAAAAGCACAGCCATTTTTTTTTTTTTTGCAACAGAACACGTTTGTGTGATAATGAACGGATGCAAAGCACGCACTTCTGATTGGCTTAACAGCTGAGAAGAAATGTCTATTTGCACATTGACAACAGCAATTTAAGGGAAATGCCTCTGCGGGCAGAGCTGTCAAAATCGCCTATTGGCGTATGATCAAAACCACAAGAAGGTAAAATGAACCAACTCGCTCTCCTATGACTGCTGATCAACACAGGGCTTAATACATTGTAAATCAATTATCTGCACTTGGCTGATAAAGTTTCTTAAATCTCAGGTTTTTATTTGACTGAACTGTCGACTTCTCAATTTTTGCTTGTGTTCGAAATGTAACCCTGGTTGATATCCACCATTGGGATTTACAATATCTAATCAACAGCTCTGGCAGATGACACAGAGGCTGTTTGAATAAAAGATCGCAGCTGTGGGTTGTTCATTACGGGGATGCTGTTATCTTGACGGGCCCAGTTTGAGGGTTTTGTAATGCACACCACAGCCCGACTTCTCCTTTAAAATTCTCTGTCGGGTTGAGGCGCTTCCTCTGCTGCTCAGATAAAGGATATTGCTATGGAGAGGCTCTTTAACCAGCATTGCCAAAAAGCACTCATGCCAAATTGAGGCTTGTTGCCTGATTGGAGGATTCGTTTTCTTCTTAATAGCTGCCTCTGCTTCAGGTCCATGACAACAGCAAATCAAGTTTGGAGTGGAGTGGAGTGTGCTTTTTAATATCCAATGGTGTTTTACACGCATAATATGTGATGAATGAAAGCTAGTTCACACTGCTAAAACAAAACAACAATTGTTGGATTATGGCATTTGTTGAGGCAATGCAAACAATTATGTCACAGACCGTTGTAGAACATATATATATACACTCACCTAAAGGATTATTAGGAACACCATACTAATACTGTGTTTGACCCTTTCACCTTCAGAACTGCTTTAATTCTACGTGGCATTTATTCAACAAGGTGCTGAAAGCATTTAGAAATGTTGGCCCATATTGATAGGATAGCATCTTGCAGTTGATGGAGATTTGTGGGATGCACATCCAGGGCACGAAGCTCCCGTTCCACCACATCCCAAAGATGCTCTATTGGGTTGAGATCTGGTGACTATGGGGGCCATTTTACTACAGTGAACTCATTGTCATGTTCAAGAAACCAATTTGAAATTAGGGCTGAACGATTAATTGCATTTGCGATAATATCGCGATATGATGAAACGCGATTTTGTAACCGCAAAAGCTGCGATTACACTGGTCACGTGACACGCGAGAGAAAAGCAGTCTGCAAGATCAAGCATCAACTTGGCACGCTACGCATATAGGTCTGGCATACAGGAAAGAACAGTTCATTTTTAATGTATGTGATATTGTGTTATTTAGCCCTTAATTACACATTACTAGGCTATCATATTAAAGGTTACAATTGACAACAGAGCCCAACTTATTATATTTATTTGCTATTTTAATAAGCATCACTAAAAAAAAGGGTACTGTAAATTGTACATAAGCCAGGTTTTGCATTAACTTCTAAATCTAATTCTAAAGTTAATTTTCTACTCCATTTTTTAAATAATCATTTACACTGTGGCTGTCAT